AGAGAGAGAGAGAGAGAGAGAGAGAGAGAGAGAGAGAGAGAGAGAGAGAGAGAGAGAGAGAGAGAGAGAGAGAGAGAGTTTTAGAGGTTGTCACCGCGACTGCCCTGTTTCGCCTAGAAGAGTAGATCCAAAATCGAAGCAGCTTTGCCTCTATCTCTATTGCAGACAATGAAGACAATGAATCACACCAAAGATGAGCCGATCCCAACAATGAAACGGTTTTATCTCTATGGCAAGCAACATGAAGCACAATAGATCCGCTGTATACCTTTCTTTTTTTTTTATGAATGTGGTTAGAAGCTGTGTAGCATGGTGTTCTGGTTCGGTCACCGAACCAGGACGTTCACAACCGAACGCGAACATTAATACAAACAACTTTTGCCTTGGACGTATGCTCAAATTCGTAACCAAACTCTAGTTAAAAATCAACAACCAAAAAAAGAGTTTTTTTTTTTTTTTAATATGTTGGGCCGAACATGTTCGGGAGGCGTTCGGCCGAACACCCGAACATGTTCGGGAGGCGTTCGGCCGAACACCCGAACATGTTCGGGAGGCGTTCGGCCGAACATGTTCGGACGTTCGGAAAAGCTCCAAAGATGTTTGGTGTGCTACACAGGTTAGAAAGACCATGGATCAGATGTTAAACTGTTCAGAACAGATGCTACACTTGATCTTAGCCAAAAGTCGGAGAAAGGCATAGATGTCCTTTCTTGACTATCTTTACTTTGGCTTTCTTTGGGGTACCCCTTGTGTGTTTGTTCTTGCAGCTTAGCCGTTTGGTTGAGCGTGCAACTCCTATATGGAAGGTCGCGTGTTCGAGTCTTGAGATAGAATCATGGACAGAGAAGCAATTATTGCAGCTCCCCTACTAATGTGCCTCTCACGCACAAGGCTCGCCATCCTGATTGTGGTCGAGCGCGAGCTGCCCCACATCCATCCCTGTGTGCCATAAGCATCCACTCGCACGCTATGAAAGGAGGTAGAGTGAAGGGGGACGTATACTCCTTTTCGTTTTTCCTCAGCTCTTCAGCTTGTATTTTCTGTTCTCTTAATGATGCATGTGCATGTACTTGGTAGTAATACACAAGAGGAGGGAGAAAAGAGAGGGGCAGGGGATGGAGTTCTACAGTAAGCAATAATGGGGGGCGGAGGGAGAAGGGCAAGAGGAGGGAATGCTCCACCAGAGGGGTGACTATGGTACGAGGGATGGACATTTAAGGGGTGACGGGATAGCATGTGGTAGAGCTTTGTCCAGATCACGTGTACTATCTGTTGTGATCAGTTTAATAT